GTCCTGTTTAAATTTATGAATGTTAAACTACCAAAAAATACCTACAACATACAGACGAATTTAGAACCTATTCCTTTTGAAAATCGGTTAAAAAGTCACTGAAGTAGTAGTTAATGAAAAAGTAAATGATTTGATATTTGAGTTTCTTTAGTAAGTCAGTTTTCGTTTGGCAAAAGAAACGTAAAATAATGTTTCGCTTACACAAAAAAACTACAAACAAGGTCAATAAAATATTTTGGCAACGCCTCTGTTCTGCAATGCTGTTTTGATGAAAGTAAATTGCAGATGTGGTCCTAGAATCGATAGCACGAAATAGGTTAGTTATGGTGTGGGAATTGTCGGAGTGAATAGTATACAGTTTATTTTAATTTAGACTTTCGTTCTCGTCTTAGAGATACTAGTTGTTCGATACGAGTGGAGTGTCGCTTTTAAAATATTTTTTTTTTAATCCTTATAAACGGGCGAAGATTTGTTCTATTTGATGTTTTCTTTTTTTTAATAGTGTCTTGGGTTAAAAGAAAGTGTTAAGTACTATGGAAAGAAAAAACTTTTTGAAATATCATATATACACGGTACGGTACGGTTTGTTAATTCTATTTTTAGCAGCATTCTTAGCTCTCCGTGTTAAGTGCATCCTTAGAGTAAAGGAGGTAGAGGACTTTAGAGGAGGTCTCTGAGTGGGGCCTGATTTACAGCGCTCTCCACTCCGTAGATGTGGAAGTGTTTAAGATGTTATTTAACATAAGTGCACTTTAGTCGGGTTTATCTTGCGATATTAAAAGTTTATATTACGATATTGAATATAAATGTTAATTGTTTTTATTTATTTACTACTAAATTAAATAAAATAAAACTGAACTGAACAGCGTGTACTTTCACAGTTCAACAACTAAAGAATAAAAATAATATCAAATGACAAAACGATAGTTCTGGAGAATATAATCCATTGAATTGAGATATCCATCGCCATAACAGCTGTTTTTTAGAATGGTCGCGCGTTTATATGCGTATGTAGGTCATTACGAGATTGACATTGAATAGCGAATCAATCGGGCGTCGAATCTAAATGCGTTCACCTCATTGCTCGCACATCGTCTGGCACACCGCCAACCAACACTCCAATATTATATTTTTAACGGCCCCAGACTAAACAGTATAAGTTGACTTAATTACCATCATTTCCCGCTTACCGTGAGAAATAGGGTGTACGGTAATAGCTGAAATAATCTACATTTTATGCTATTATTGCGCATTTGTTAATTTGTTTAGTAAATCTGTGACTAACTTTTCTTTAAATACATTAAAATACCAGTGTTTCTTCGAGCTCCATATGGTTACTTGTTTTTTTTGTTGTTGTATTTACTATAATTATTTTACCTTTAAAGGTTGTTCGAAGTCAGTTTTCTTCAATTTGTTTTTATTAAAAGGTACCGCATTATTTAATTTAACCATAGTAAAGCAGTGTAAGGGTTCTGTAGTGCACTTCAAGTACCCACCTGTTGCCATGCCTCAGTTATTTTTAAGAAGCTGTCGCGAGTGTGTATTCAACAGGGTTAATTTATTAACTAACGTTTTATCTATGTTTATTTCATTTTTATTTGGTAGCAGATATTTAAATCTGAGGAAGTTAAATCGAGTTTCATAGCGCACGAATTATTGTGTAGATATGTATCTTGTTTAATTTTTAAGTAAATTTCAATTATACAAGTTATTGTGGATTCCATTATTCATCATTTACTTATTATTAACATTTACTTCTAGGGAATACTTCTCGTATACTTAAATATCAAAGGATTTAAAATTCTTATAGTATACACGCTGCGTAATGTTTCACTTTAATTCATAATATCCGTTAATACATGAGGTTTATCTCTGCATTCCACACGTTAATGTACCCTGCAATAATGCTATGCAATATATTACTATGTTTTTACCCCTCTGTAAGGGTCTATAAGAGGGATATCGACGAGGGTAAACACCCTCTCGAAGTCCCTGCGGTTGACAGCTACACGTCTGCTAAGCGTCAACTGGCAGAAAATGGTTCTATAGAATATTAATCGGTAGCTTCTAATACGTACAGCTTGAGTGAAAATAATTAACAATAATTACTTCTGCCATTTAGTGTTATTGATTATTTAAATCCAATTTTTATTTCGATTAGTTTTTTAAACAATAGTCTTACTGTCCAACCTTGGTAATACGATATCGATTTGCATTTTTGATCAATAAAGTAAAGCGTTATTTTTTATAGTCTATTAAAGCTATCGATTATTCAAAATCGAATGTTAACAATGATCTCATGTGTGAATGAAACCAAACAATGTAATAATTGCGTCCAGGTTACAAAAATAATGTTACCTATTACAATTTTAGTGTTAACCTTTTGTATAGTATCTAATTACAACGTTACTACATATAAAGGCTCTTCATATCACTTACACTTGGTATAAATTATCAGATGGAAAAGTGCGCGGGCTGTTTACGTTGAACAATGAACATAGTCATCATAGCTATGCCCGGTCACTTACTTGTCTGTTCCAAGTTTTTGATTTTGCTCGAGTTTAAATTGCTATTTGTAATAACACTTTTACATATGTTATTATCAGTTACATAGACTAGAAATCTAGCCAACTAGGCCACGAAATAGACATAGACTATTGTCGTCTACTATAATAATAGAAAGTTATTATCTGTAACATCGTCTAGTAGTGGTGAAAGATACAGTATTAATGTAATTATTTTTAAATTACTGATCATAGTTATTATTTTGTGACGTCAACAATTCTTACCGGTGAGCTTATGGTTTTTATTATCTATGAATTAACAATAAATATTCTATCAAAGTTAACAATACCAACCGGTAGTGTATAGTAAATTAATTAATATATACTTGTGTTATAAATACCATTGCAGAATGTTAGTCAGCGGCTACAATATACAGGTCGCTAGGAAGCCGTACTATATGTACTCTAATACCAGAAGTACACAATTATACAATGACACATTGAACTTGCTACTCTTATTGTATTAGCTTCTGCTTTTTACTTCCTTCCATACTGTTTTTCCACTACTTAATATTGTGTCCAGGCGATAGCTTCTTTGTTTTCAAAATCTGCAACTTTTTATTGGAGGAGTCTATCACGATCCCATGAAAATATTAATTAATTATGGAGGAATGTAGATTCATTCTAAGTTTAGATTCAGGGTTTGTTTTCAGGAAATACCCTTAACTGCATAAATAGTTTTAACACGTATGTTTTATACGCGTAAATTTTACTAAAACTAAGAGAGAAGTTCGTCTCGGAAAGATGGAAATAGGGGTCATTAGAATGCATCCGTAGTTGGTGAGTCGTTGATTGATGCCACTCATTAAGCACAGCAGGAAGCTCTAGCTACGTATTGACTGACAATTGAACAGGGGTAGTCAACATTCAAAATAACACTCTTATATTTATAGAACATCAGTCGACAATATTTCTAAATTGTTTTTTCTCTTGAAATTGATTGATTCGCAACCAACAGTTAGTCATATTTCAGGTTAATGAGATTATTAACTTCTACAGTCACAAAATTGACCTTGGAGGCAAGTTTGGAACGTTTTTTTACTGTTTCCACCAGCCTATAACATAGCGTTTGGTTTGAGGTCAATGACATGCAAAACTATGTTCAAAACTCTTTTTCCGGTCACAGGTCTCTTAAAATATTTTATGGTAAACTATGATAATTTAAACTGTAACGTTATACTTAACTGTCACGGACAGAGATGGCAAGTAATACTTTTTTATAAGAGAATGATAATGTGGTTCAGTTATCCCCAAAAAATCTAGAAGTTGATAAAAACTAAAATAAAAACATTCGACATTACGCGGGACGGGATGAATACGAAGGGAAAATTTTACCTTCCGGTATGTTCTCTCTGTACTTTTAAAGTATTGCATTGACAACTTGTTGAAGATGTCTATGAGCAGTGATCGCCTCACTTTACTTTCGAAATCTGGCTATATTCTCGTTTGCCGTTATACGTTAATAAAAAAGTTGACTTTGATTTCATAATGATATATACGATATTTCATTTTTGTACAACATAAAAGTAAAGAAGATTGGTGATAATAATGAATCATTTATATTTAATCAACAATTTGTGGTCACCGTCACCTTTCCATGTACGTTGCTTTAAGTTAAGTAGTTCTCACGGGGTTCTAAGCCTTACAATTGATATGCGTGGGAACAATTAACCACGGGTAGACCGTTTTTTGTCGTCTCAAAGTTATTGTTGAGGTAACTTAAGGGTTTTAGCGGACCTTAAGCTAGTGAGGTGTTAAAGAATTTTAAACGACAGTAATGTTTCGAATAATGATTCAAATTACAAATCAAGTGTTTTATCTTAACTGCTTTAGATATAAATAGCAATTACTTGTTGCCACATTTTATTTTGTTAAGCAGTGGTAAAAATAAGTTATTTGCTAAATTGTAAATGGTATTTACAATTTTTTAATATGAAAGTGAACTTTCAGCTCGATCTTATGTTTCAATATAAAAATAAACCATAACCATTAATAAACGTTCTTAATTAAAATAGTTAATGTGTTTTAGGCTCAATTAAATATAATTATCAACAGATTATCAGCATCAAACTAGTTTTGTGATGGGAATCTGTTACTCAGCATTACGTGTTAACTCATAGTAACTGCGTTAAAGTTCTCAGATCACGCACCTTATCACAAGGGTGACGATAACGCGACTCCGATTGAGCAATTCGAACCGAAACGCTTCGCTTTGCGTGCACAATACGCAACGCGCAATACCTCTCTATAAGTAAATTATGTCACAATCTATGGGTGAATAACCCACGATCATTTCAGTACTGTACAACAACGCTTCTGTAATTTCTATCATGTAAAAACTTGGGCAATATCACTTACAGTATCTCTTATTACTTTCGCAAGCATTCCTAATTTTAAATCTTATGTTATACTAAAATCATATTTATCTTGTTCCAGGCTTGACCCACCGATATCTCAGTCACAGTTCCCAATGGAAAACAAGAAGCCAGTACCGGCGACGCAGCAGCCACTCACACAGCAACATCTCATGGCGCATCATGTCCATCCCGATCAAATCTATTCGTCACAGCACACTCAAATACCAACACACGTAGCCACTCAAACCAGTCAAATACAACCGAATGGTGTCATGCACCAACTCCTACAAAGTCAATATCAATCGAACATGAACGCAAGATCTCCTCTTTTAGAAAACCGTCACGAATTGTATGGCACTGGACATAATCGAGAATACACAAGGCACTATGGTGCAAACGATAATTATAATTATCCTCAGTCCCCACCCGGACAAGAGAGGACTGAAATACACACCGACCAAAATGTCAATCACGATATACTTCACAACATCCCAAAAGGATACAACGCTGAGGTCTACCAAGATTATTTGAAACGTAACCCACCGAAAGATACCAATCAAATATACCAAAATCATCAACCGACTTACAGACCTAACGCGAACCAGTACGGTTCAAAACCTTATCTACCTTATTCAAGTAGAATAGGACCGCAGAGTAACACAGAATTGTTGAGAAGGCAATACAACGAAATACAACAAATGAAAATGCAACAACAGTTACATTATCAAAACCAGGCGCAGATGCATCAACAACAAAAATTCGCCGAACGGCAATTACTTCTACAACAGATACATGGAATACAACCACCTCCCAATTTACAGAATAGCATATATTCAGATGGTTCATACAGAGATTTAGACCGCTACAGCAGTAAAAACGACTTCAAAGATTATGAACTACAAAAAGATATAGAGAATTATGGGAAGAACAATGAAATGCGGGAATCCGACAAGCAAATTAGACAATACCACGATGCGCAATGGCAGACAAATCAGCCTTCTGATTTTCGAGAAGCCGAGAGATATAGAAAACCAGAAGACGATAAATCAAAAAGTCAATCCCCACCTTCCGATTTCAATAACCAAATACAAAGAAATAATGTTGGTGTAGTTTCGCCAATGAAATCTAGCGAATCGAGTACTCCTAGTGTAAAATCACCGTCTTCTGAAAGTCGAAGAAGCAGCAGTGGTAACCAAGCGTTAAGGTCACCAATAGCACAGAGGATTCCTTCCGCCCCTGTTGCTATGGCTGGAATTTTGTACAAGCAGGGTTCGGATGGCCTTAAAGTTTGGAGAAAACGATGGTTCGTCTTGTCTGAGTACTGCTTGTTCTATTACAAAAGTGAGTGTTTATTTAATTAGTCTTTTCAAGGTTTTATTATAATGTTAACTAAATAATATTATTGCGTATTTCCGTGGATCTGCTTAAGGCATTAAATATATGTAGATATGTAGTAATGTAATTTTCATAAATTGTTTCAGGTCACGACGAAGAAAAATTATTAGGTTCAGTTCTGCTTCCTTCTTATAAAGTATCTGCCTGCACTGCTGAGGACAAAGTTATGAGAAAATTTGCATTTAAATTAGAACACGCAAATATGAGGACGTATATACTAGCAGCTTTGGATCAGGAGGCTATGACAAAATGGGTGAAGGCATTGACAATGGCTGCTCTTATGCAAAATTTTATGTAAGTTACATGCTATTCTCACTCCATAAGCAATTTTACTCCTTACTTAGTAAACTTGTATCTTACAATCTCTTATTATTGATTTGATTATTGGCTATTTTATCGGCTTTGCAATAATAAAAACATTTTTGTTCCAGTGATCAACCACAGAAGCAAAGCGATCGAATGGCTGTTAAAAATGAAGTAAGTATTATCGGATACGCGATGCGAATTTACAACGGTGCGGGTGGTAGACAATTAGTTCGTCAGAGCGTGTCCAAGGACAGTTTTGTTATAACTGGATGTAACGGCAGCAATAATAACTATAGCCGGCCAAACGATTTTGTGCCATTGCGTATACGTAATTTGTTTTCCTTTTTTATGCTTATATCTTTAACCTTAAATTTCGCAGGATGATGAAGATGCAGGTCCTACGTATGCAAATGCCCCGCCTAAACCTCGAAGATCTAACGATGGTTACAATTCACCTAGTCCGGATATGTAAGCCCTTACTTTTTAAATCAAGTGTGATTCATGAAACTAATACCGCATAAAAAAAATATATTAACTATTAAATAATTACAGGTACGATCCTAACTATGATTTACTTAAAAAGCCAGCATCACACTATAGCCAAGGCACTAACAACACTCGCTATCAGGATCATACTAATTACCCGAGCAGCCCTATTCAAGATGCTGCATACACACGCTCCCCACAGTCACCACCGCAGCAACAACCTCAGTATCAGACAAAACGATCATACGATACTCATAACCTTTCCCTGCCATTGACAAATACAATAACGGAAAGACTCGAAAGCAATCAGTACGGTTCATCGTCCATGTATCGATCTAATCCTCAATCTCCTTATTTTGATAATAGGAATAGAAATCATCAACCTCCACAGCAACCTATCCAAGATCCAAAGACAAATAATGACGCTAACATTTATGAACAACGAATGCAACGGAATCCGTTCTTACAAGATAGTGCACAAATTGAAACACCTGCGAATAAAGAATCTCAAATGAAGAATACACCATTAATGACAGAGGAAAACCGTCTAAGCACTGGATATAATGAAAGCTATCCAGAATCACGCACTGAATCTGCACCCAACGCATCTAATACTTACAATAAAGATGTATATGGGGAACTTAATAGAGCCAACAGATCTGGTAGCAGTGTTAATGAAAGGATAATAGAAAGAAGAACGCCTGACGCTTATGGACGAGCAGCTTCGTTAGCGTACAACAAGGAAAAAGTTGAAGATTATGAAGATATTTACGCAAATGAAAATGAATACGGGAAAACCTATGCAAAGTCACCCAGGCAACACCAAACGCGGGATAATGTCAGCATATCTAGTCACAAGCAAGCACAAGATCAAATTTCAAACTATGTAAGTATCATACTCTTACTTTTTCGATTTATTTTAAACAAGTCTACTTAGAAAAAACATGTTTTAGACGCAAGAGAAGACTTTTAGCGGACCAGCAGTTTTAAGAAGAAAGAAGATGCAGGCAAGTGGAATTCAGCCTCCGATGCCACGACCTCACAGTGCTGATTTTCTTGAATACGAATCTAAAAATGAGGTTTTAAATAAAACGGTCCCGACAAGGACAGTTACTGATCCTCCTCGGCAGCCGCAGCGGCCTAAGTCTAGCCTCGATATCAATTCATACTACGACCCAAGTTCCGACAGGTATTACTCGGAAGAAAGCTACGCGGAAAAAATGCGTCAATCAGCTCAATATTTGCAGCAACAGGCTATGGGGTCGCGTAACATTCAAATTCCATTAGCCAAATATGCTAGTGGATTAGCTGAGAAACAGCTGAGTTCGGCCTATTCCCAGATTACCAATAATAATTACGAACCTGATACGGCAATCAATAGAAGCAGTCGTGATAATGTAAGTTATAATTCAAAGTATAGTGATATCGAAGGTTTGAATTCTAATTGGACATTGAAAGAAAAAGAAAGTCAAAAAGATTATCTGAACAGAAGTGGCAGCGTTATGAGTGACAACTCCAATGTAAGTGGTTATGTAAAGGACGTTAATAGATTCGATCCAACCGTGGACGGGTTCATGAGGTCCGCAAGTGCGCGTTTACCCTCCACTACAGAGAAAGAAGGCGAAAAGAAAATACAACAGGTATTTTAATGCCACATGTTATAAAGTGGTCATAATGTATTTACTTAATTGATCTAAATTGGTATAAATGAATGCACGATGCTTCAGATTTACCAATATTTCGATCGGATATTGTCGATACTTAAAATATGTTACTTAAAATATAATTTTTCCTTTCCAGCGCGAGGAATCCATGAAACGGCTTCTTGAATGGAAGCAAAGGATGTTGCAAAGTCCTTTGACAAGAAAAAGTACACCGGCGACTATTTCTCTTGCTCGATCACTCAACCATAGTAGGCAGTCGTTGAGATCAGACCAGTACAAGCCGAAAACATACAATGCTTCATACAACAGCTATTCTTCGGACGACGAAGGTAGGGAATCAGTCTTCTAAGAGTTATAGTAGATTTTTCGTAGCATGAGTAACAGATTACATAGATTATATAAAAGATTTTCTTTATTTTACAATTTCAAATTATGCCATAAAAGCATGGTGTGAAATATTTTATTCATGCATGAGTACAGTTATTTGATTTTTCAGGGTTGTCTTTAAGTTTTTTTAATTACCTTCATTTTATATTTAGTTATAATAACGGTGTAGTATTTTCGCAACATATAAAAAGTTGTAATAATATTAATAATACATGTTTGTCTACCAAAAATAGCAGTCATCAAACGTTCATCATTTCGAGGATTGAAATTATTAAAAAATTGGTTTATAATATAAAAATGCCATAGAAAGTAACATAAGTTTATTTTTAATATCAACCTCATAGTATTAAAAACTTAGAAGTAGTTTATAATGACTTTGCTTTGCGGAAAGGTACCTTCCTGCCTGCTGGGACTATGTCACTAACAAGATTTAATATTGGTATTTCGTCGGTGGTGGGTTATAAACATTATTTTAGCGGTGGTTTCTGTAATTAGTAGTCTTATCTCTTTCTAACCTCACAATATTTAGGACAGTATACTACTAACATGGAAAATTGAATCAAAAATAATAAAAATGTTAGTCTGAATCGATTAAGTAAAATTAAAATTTTGTACCTCAGAGGAAACAACGGGCACTGATCTGCAAATACCGAGAGATACGCAGGCAGGAAGGTCCCATAAAATGAACATAAGCCCCATTGTAATGCGACCGGAAACACATGCGCCCTTCGTCGCTCAACCTATTGAGAAAGATCTTACTGAAGTTGACAATAAAAATGATGAAAATACTTACGAAAACATTAATTGTCCAAACACAAATAATTCTGACTACGACATAGTGCCAGATACAAACGATGTGCAGAATTATGAGACAGCATGCACTGAAAATAAACATGAAGGTGATAACAATAGTGGTTATGAAACACATGACAGTGAATCAGAATCAGAAACACATATTGAATACACAGATAACGATTTAGACGAAGTTTTATTAGCGTCTGATAACGATAATAAAATTATTGAGGATGTGGTTTTCAGAACTTCAAACAAAACTGGTGACGATAGTAATGAAGCAGAACGGGCAAGTGAAAAATCTGACACACCTCCTATGCGCAATGTTGGCGAGGAACATTATCTTCCTATGAGTCCACGTAAGACTTCTACGTTAGAGCCTCCTCATAAAACAATACTTCAGAATTTGAGCGTTTTTGATGACACTATGCCTCAACATTACGAAGATAATCCGTACGTTGAAATGAGTTTAGGCAACGAGGATGAAGATATGCAAACATATGAAATTGTCTGTGTGAACAATGGTAAAGTGGAGCCTGTTTATATGGAAGTAAAAAATGGAACAATTGAAGAAAATGAATTAGAAAGTGTAACGCTTAGGGATAAATCAATATCAGACACAGCTTCAAATTTTGCTGATACAAAGCAACAAACACTAAAAAGGGTTTCCAAAGGCGATAAAGCGAAAGAAAAATCAGATTGTTCGGACGCAGATGATGAATCGTCAAGAGATTTTTCACTCGATACACCTTTTAATAGAATGAGCATTTCGGACACTTTTAGGCCGGCATCATACTATCTGAGTGATAGTAGAACTATATTACATCGACAAGATAGCTCTGACAGTGAAGTATATCCTCCTCCAATACCCAGTTCATCACCTCCTTGCGAAGGACTTTCTGGTGAAGCGTTATCTAGGTACATTCTAGATAAACTGGATAAATCAGATATACCACAGGATAGTTCAATTTTGAAAATGCTAACTAGTGAAAATCAGAAAAAGATTAATGCTAAAAGAAAAACAACTTCATTGATGATTTATGGTAGTCGTACTTCAATTCACGATACTCTCACAAGAGGCGAAAAAATTCGTAACAGCAGGGCTAGTTTGGTAAATGAAAAACAGAATTTTAAAGAAGGACCTTCTACTGTACATAATAATTTAATCTTCGAACAAAATCCTTGTTGTAGCTTAGATAATGACTCTTTGCTTAATGCTGATAGAGGTTCATCAAGATTGTCCCTGGAATCTGATATAAGCAGCAAATTCGATATAGCACCTTCAAATATCTCCTCTGAAGCAACAAGTCTTGGAAGTGATTCAATGATGGATTTAAATAATAGCAGTGAGCATAAAGACATAGAAAATATGTTAAAAAGACGGCCACTTTCAGACGATTCACTTTTTGAATTAACTTCATCTCAACTTTACCAAAACCATGATGTCATTTCAAATGCTGATCTTGATAAATATTTAGAAAATTTACAACCCTATTCTAACAATGTTGGTGAACATAGTTATGAAAATACATCATTTGTCAGAGACTCAATACGAGATGATCTCGTTCATAGTGATGATGCTCTACCAACACAGACGGTCACTGTAGCACACCAACGTAGTTCCAGTACGCCTGTGAGGAACGGTAGTACTGCCGATGATAAAGTAAATATTGGTATACAATACAGTATCCTAGAACAACACGTTTCGGGTTACGTAGGATCACAAAGTTCTTGTAGTTCAGTTGGTCTTACTAAATCCCCAATATCATTTTACTGCAAGAATACCGATGAAGGGACATTAATAAGAAAAAACTTAAATAAAGTTTCTACGGCTAACAAGATAAAGGAATTCGAAAACGAGAAATTGGCGCCTAAACCAGAAATTGACACTAATGCTTCTTCAACAACCACTGGCTTTCACAGTAGAGAAAGTTCTACAGAACACAGCGCACCTTACTATTATTCTGATCTTTCTTCACAAGAGCATATTAATGTATTACCTACTTCTCATTTCTTGAAAAATACTAACCTTCACCGCAAACTTAATAATCAAAGACGAAGAGGTCCCTTACATAAGAAAAATGAAATATCACATATTCACAATCCAATTCGTAATAACCAAGTTCTGATGTCTGACCGTTCTTTTGAATTAGCTTCGACGGCGAGAAGCGTTTCAGTGGAATTTTTGAGTGCAGCTGACAAAGATTCAGATATTGATATGAAAAATATTTACGAATCTACCGGCGGTAAAAGTTCGAAGATCCCTGAGTCGATGAATTTAATATCTAGTCTTGGCTGTAAGAGAAGCACTAATCAGAAAGAGATCGATGAAAGTCAAACCACAGATCTTGGTGTTCTTAATAATGCCTCCATGAACACAAGTTCAATACAATTATCATCAGCTAGTATGTCGTCACACTGTAGCGGAAATTCATCTAATACTGTATATTATGACGCGGAGGCGGACGCTGGAGCATATGAAAACGTTTTTTGTCAAGGAGAGAAACATTGGGATGAAGATTCTGTGTGGAGAGATAATTTAAGGCGGGTCTCACATCGACACGCTCGATCTATGGACGACTTAGATACGGTGCAAGTGGAAACAGTACCTAATCGTATAGGATCGGATGCATGTTGTATGCATAGTATTAAACGCATAAAGAAATGTTCACCAAGCAAAATAATTCGAAACGTAACGTATGTAAATTGTAATATACAAGAACAAGTGCAACGACGTAAGGATCTTAATTTAGATACAAAATGTATATATTCAGAAGAAGACGAAAAAGTTGACGATAATGATGTTTATGTTAGCTTAGCTGAAGATTCTGAGCAATGCAACGAACAATCTGACGAAGGAGTGTATGAACAATTAGCGATTGGTTCCTCTGATTCAAGTATACCGGTAGAAAAGGAAAGTCAAAAATGTATTGCTGATAGTAAAAGTACACGAAAAAAGTTTGAAATTGATAGAGAAAACTTGAGACAATGGGACTTAATGTCTAGTGGTTTAATGAAAGGTCGGGCGGGAGGGGCGCATTGTGTCGGGGCAAATGTGGTTGTGGGCACAGTTCACACGGACACCGCGACAGACAGGTCAAGCAATGACGGTATCCTATAACAATAAAAGGTCCCGTAAGGTACACTATGTAAGTTACACTCCTATTACAATTATTAGCAAAGCAAGTCATTTAAACGAATTGTAAATATTTTGGCATTTTTATGTGATTAGACGTTTACAGTTCATTCATTGTTTATAAGGGTTTAAAACAAGATAAGGTGTAAAGTGAAATTATTTAGCATGCAAAATTAACATGACATTCAATTGTAAATAGAAACAAAAATGGAAATAATGTACTAATATGCAACCTTCGTACACTTTATCATGTTTATACCAGGTCTGTCATCAACAAAAATAACTCTTATTTTATTGTGTACAATTTCCTTCAACCTTTGAATTATTTTAGCTTCAACGACAATGCCCGGCACGAATTTGGAATCGAATATAAATAACAATACACCACAACAAACATTATCAAAGAAAGCTTTCCTCGGGAGCAACACTTCGATTGGTCGAAGCAATAGAGATGCTAACATCCCCGTCCGCGCGGTCAGTCCTCGCGTGAGATGGGTCGAGGAAAAGCAATCGAATGATAACTACACATCACAACAGCTGTCAGCGTCGCAACAAAATGTAAGTTTTGACACTGGTCAAATAATCCAAAATCTAAAAAAAAGTGAAATAGTTCACACTTAATGAGATCTAAACCACTCACGGTGGTAAAGATCCTGAGGTATCCTCTCCTATTTTTGATGTATCGTCTTTTTTATTAATTAGTCTATGTCAATTTTACTTTTTTCAGTTAAATACTTTGAATAATGGACAAGATACATGGGCTTTAACAAGATCGCCTTCAAGGACATTACAACAACCGATTAGTGCAGTCAGCCCACGCGTTAGAAGAAATGATAATGATGATGTGGTTTGTACCATTCTATTTGATTCATACAAAAATGTCTGTTGCTTATAATTATGTTCCATGGTTATTTTGCAATGTTTCTTATGTTGAGTTTTGTTTTTGTCATTATGCTTTTTGTGTTCATTTAATTAGCAATATACGAGTGGGCAAGAGTTGCCTGAGACGCCCACCGCTGGGGAGTTGTTGGGACGTACTCACGAGGAATTGGTATTACTTCTAATACAACTGAGGCGACGGCACACGGCAACTCATCGGTCTATAGAACAATGCTGTGCACAAATTAGTAGCATAGAGGTGCATTTTTATTTTATTTGTTTTTTTTCTTTTATTTATGTTATCTGTCAATCACCTAATTACTTATTTATTTTGCATTGTCTTCGTTTTTATATTCCAACTATTGCTAATAAATAACCTATTTTATTTTAATATGCTAAATAACGTGATATCCACAGGATTGTCTAAGCTCCCTCAAAGCATTAGAGCGTGAGGAGAGTCTGCAGCGGTTGGAGCAGCTGAAGAAGCAGCTAATGGACCTGGAACACCAGTACGAGAAAAGCAAGCCGCTGGTGCAGCTGGTCGACAACATGGTGAAACTCGGCTCCCTTTACAACAGACCTGGATCTACCATCGAGCGGCTGGAGAGGAACCAGCGCTTACGACAGAAGGTGCTAGCTGAACATGCGTTAGAACAACAGAGGTAAGAATTGTAATGGTTTATGATATACATGAAAAAGACAATAAAAATGTAATAAAAGTACTCGTGAAGATGAGTCTGCGGAGAAAATTCGTAAACATTAAGAGCGGGCGCACACCTTTGACTAAACTATCACACAATTTTTGTGCGATTGTCGATTGGTTCGTAGCCAGTTAAACTGTTTAGTTGCACAACAAAAATGGAGTAATGTGCGCACCTCCATATAAGCTCATAGGAATCAAAGCGAGACAAAACAGTTGTGCGATAGTTTAGTCAGAGATGTGCGTGCGTCCTAAACATTTGATATAACCAAAACATCGATTCGTGAAAGATTAAATAAAAAATATCGATGCAACTTTTTTTGAAACTCGATGGAAATAGGCTGGACATATAGTTAGCACAACAGTCAACGTTCCCATATCTATTGTATATTCATAAAAAAATTTTAAACATAAAAATAATACCGTCACTGTATTAGGAGAAATTACCACAGAAAAAAAAGTATTTCATCCATTAACAAGTGTCGTGTTAAGGTGGTTGGAGAGTGCGGCCGCTGGGAAGTCCTTGGAGACGGAGGCCGCTCGGTCCAGGGTGGCCGAGCTGTGGGCGCTGGAGCAGGAGCTGGCGGACGAGGCGGCCATACTGCAAGGTCTAAAGACTGATAAAGATACCATCGATAATTTACTTACTGGTATGTTGGCATTTTATTACAGCATTCTTGATGACTAAACACAGATAAACGTTTATCCAAAATTTGTAATTAAATTATTAATGAATTTGAAATAAGTCAACAACAACTTGGGCATTTTTTTTTAATATAGAATGATGGTCCAGTTTGTTTTAAAGACATATCTAAGTTTAAAACTACGAAAAGTTTCACTTTAAACTGTTTTGGAATGGTCGAGACAAGAAGTGCAAATGTGTCGTAACACATAAAGGTGTAGTTATGAAACGTTTAACTAATGCCTGTATAGCTATCGCCCGCTACTGCGCGTGAAAATTTTTTTTAAAAAGTAAGTAACTTATGACTTACTATGCTCCACATCTATGTCAATTTTCATCTAGATACGTATGCATCTGTAGTTCCTCTGATGTTGCGGATATCTGGGCGTCGATCACCTCGTTGTTCTCGCCGGTCCTTTGCCGAATTTTATAAATAATAATAATAATAAGGTACTTGTGTAGGTGTCCGCAGCAAGCTGTCGAGCGCGCCGCGCGGGGCGGGCGGGGCGGGCGGCGCGGGGGGGCTGGAGGCGGAGCTGACGCGCGTGCACGCTCTGCTCGCGCACAATTCTAAGGTTTATAAGGTTTTCATCTATACCATGCACTTATATCTTTTATATTTATTACTAGCTTTCGCCAGCGACTCCGTGCGCGTGGAATAAAAAAAAACAAAAGTGAGTAGCCTGTGTTCTTCCAGACTATGCTCTAGATCTATGCCAAATTTCGTCGAGATCCGTTCAGCCGTTTAGGCTACAAACTCTAGCAAACATCCATCCATCTGAACTTTTGCATTTATTAGTAAGATTTATGTCTCGTGTTTAGAATGATGTGGCACAAATTCAAATAAACTTTTTTATTTTTTTAATCAGTTTGCACTGCATGTAAACATTTAATAATGTAAATTAGACTCGTTAACAATAATATATTTATCCTGTGACACATGCACATCTAACAGATTCTATTGTGTCATTACTTGTGATGAACTATATGTTATTGCAAAGAATGTAAAAAAACATAAATGTTTTTTTCCATTGTCCATGATAACAGTTGGCTAAACTTTTTCACTCATTTGCTCTCTGCGGGTGTCTAAGTTAACACCAGTTCTATTGTCAAGTAAACTGCGACCTCGTTTGTAGACTACGCCTGCGTTTTTAAGTGAATATGTCGTTTAGCCTTTTGCCCGCGACTCCCTCCGCGTGAAGTTTAAAACAAAAGTAAGTAGCTTATGTGTTCCAGGTACTACATCTATTTTAATTCATCGAAATCTTCGCGGTCGCTTCGCCATTTTGGCGGATTCAGGTGGTCGCTTGTTCTGCCACGTTATATTATAAAAAAAAGGAAAGCGTAAATGTAAGTTTCAGTACTGGGTGTTTGCTTTATTGTAGTGTTGTTTTCCAGAAATTAGAGCAGACGGTAGCGGACAACGCGCGGCTGGAGCGGGAGCTGCAGCAGCTGCGGCGCGCATTGCAGGCTCGCCGCAACGCGCCCCACCCGACACACACACACCCCACCGCGCTGCTGGAAGACGGTATGTATCCGGCTTGCTAGGACCAACTTGTAATATTTAGTAAAAAAGATACATACATCTTAGAAGATACAACATCCTATGAAGTTGCTGTTTTGTATGAAAAATGATATTTTTTATGTATTTTTATTGGTATCGAAGTAATCACTTGTGCAATCAATGCTATTTATAATACTGGTGAGAATGGTATTGTATTGGTAGTGTTGTTGTCAGAGGTGTCGCGCGTGCAGCGGCTGGTGAGCGCGCTGCAGCGCCAGCGCCAGGAGCTGTCGCGCGCCGTGCGCCTCCTCACGCAGCACTCGCGTCTGCTGCAGACCACGCACGACGCCATGCCAGGTACACACTTACACCGCGACACACGTCACCTAGCGACCGTAATAGCAATGTCCACCCAAAGTCATCTGTTGATACCTCATTTGCATATGCCAATTTCACTGATCTAAATATAACTATGTTCTATACTAATATAATAAAGCGTAAACACACACTTATTTGTTATCTAGAATCCGCATAAATGTGCAGTGATTACTGATTTTTTATTAAAAAAATGTCATTAAATTTTTTGAATGATTTTTTTTAAAATAAAATATGCTACACTTACGATACACTATATGCTATATACTATAATATATTTTCACGCTATTTAATGTAAGGTGGGAAAATCTGAAAACAAAAAAAAAATTGCGGAATCTTACATGGGAATAGCTAGTAGTTATTAAAAAGGTAGAAAAATAAGTAACACAATTGTTGGCTGTTACAACTTTTCACTTTAATTCGTTAAAGCAAAAGCTCCACAATTACTTCTAAATAGCAGGTTTTTGTCGTTTTAAGAAACTGAATATGTGCCGAAATATATTTTTTAATATAAAATAACGATATTTCAGGTAAGCGTCGGCCAATAACATGCTGGCAAGAAACGAATTTGGACACAGGTCATACAATCGACCACGGACAGTCGGAGTACGAGTGGGCGCGGTCTCTGCGCGCGCCCGGACAGCGCGAACACGAACACGAATTCGACCGCGAACTCGAGCATAGGCTTGAACGTCAGTACGAGCACAGAGCAGAGCGCCAGTACGAACACAGGCCCGAGCGTCAGTACGAGCAGCGAGCGGATCAGGAGCGCGCGCCGCTGTACGTGGACACGCGGCCGCCCGCCACCGAGCTGCCGCTCACTCTGCCGCTCAGCAGCGATGACATGCAGCACACTGCCTTCAGTCAGTACCTTCTTGTTACCTAGCTAATAATTATATTTTATGAAACAAACTTAGATTAAGCCCTCATTCGCACGGGTGCTTTTTAGCGCTCGATTAATCGATGAAGTGATTTTAAAGTTTTTGGATGAGATGCTTGATTTCGTTCTCCAATGGTTCAAAATTTAACACTGAATTGCATTTTTTCTATTACCAATAGCGTGTATACTGTAACGTGCGATAAATAAAGATCATTTGAAATAAAATATGTCTACTATGAAATCTGATTATATGTTAACTGTCTTTCCTTGAAAAAAAAAAAAGGTTGCTATGATAATATTTGCATTTTACTTTCAGGTAACTTATCAAATGTAGAAAAGCAAGAAATCAAAACGGTCCGTATCGTCAAACGTGAGAGCGAGAGGCGTCAGAGGGACAGAGAGAGA